ACTTCTTTTTGCAAATTCATTGCCGGTCGAGGAAGTGTCCGATTTTAAATACCTTGGGTCCACTTTAGTACCAAATGGCCAGGCAAAAGACGATATTATAACCCGGATCACGGCAGCTAGAAATGCGTTCTTCCGGCTGACGAAACTTTTATGGAGCCGTCGTGAAATTACCATTAAAACAAAAATCCGCATCTACTAAGAAGCTATCTACTTTTGATCACTTTTATCTAAGGTATATTTTTCGTGTCCGTCAAACGGATAAAATATCACTTTCCATCCACCTTTGTTCAAAAACTACCCATATTAATAATGTTATCACAGAGCGTCGCTTTCGGTGGCTAAGGCACGTTCTCCGTCGTCCACCACAAAAGTTGTCGCATATTTCGTTACTTGTTAAACCGTATGATGGTTGGCATCAAAAGGAGGTAGGCCAATCGAGGCCTGGACTGATACGGTGAGAAAAGATTTTAAACGTATAGGTGGACCAGCAATATATGGACTTAGACGATGAGAAAACGAATGGTTTCTATTACTGTCGACGATAGCATCAGACCGCACCGTTTGGAAGCGTCCTACCCTCGTAGCCAGCCTAACCAGTAATGGTGAGATCTGTTAGAAGAAGAAAGACATATAAATGATTCCATTGATATTTTTATGTTTTAAAAATACCCATATAAGATGGAAAATATGTGTTAAAATTAGAAACAATATGCATATGTTATAGTTTCAGTATTTTCCAGTTTCAGTTTTTATTGTGGCATTTTTTTCTAACTTATTTATTTAAAAAATTCAAGAGGCACTCAAGCCATGAACTCGTTAAAGAACAAATGAAAGCCAAAAAAACATTAAAAAAAGAAGGAAGAAAAGGGATATAAGGTTGAGGAATTTATAGATAATTTGTTTAATTTATTCTTAAAACTAGAAATAGTTGGAGAAAAAAATTGGCCACTTCATTTAGTAGCCGAATTTCAGTAATTTATGTGATTTCAGTTATCTGAAATTTGTATAACAAGTAAAGAAGAAGTTCTGCAAATTTTGATCTGCAAATGGGTTTGAGTAATTTTAATCCATTGTCTGCTTCTTGTAATATTAAAGTTTCAAGGTAAATCATAATGTTTAGCATAGTTTAAGCCATTAAATTAATAGGCTTTTTAGATATAGGATAGGAACTAAGAAAATATGGTACTCTAAACGTGGTCGAACTAGGGTTTTGCTTCAGCCAGTCCCACGTTAGTAAAAAATTTCTGGGCGACTTATCTGTCCTTTCGATACATCGTTCTGCTAAAATTTGTCCGATCCGATAGCGGCGCGAATCAAAAGTAGTGAGCATTCCTGGAAAAGAAACAGGAAGATTTCTAGGATGTGGAAGATTTATTCAGCAGCGAAATTGTCTACAGACATTATAAATTAAATTATTTGGAAAAATAATTGTTGCGATAAGAATAATTATGTGCAAAGTAAAAGATCAATTTAGATCCTTTTAACGATGCATCCTCGCAGATTTTTTTCAGGAAATGCCACCTTCATGCCTGCAAAGAACAATTATTTCGAAGAACAGTGACAAAAAATTAGTTAATTTGCATTAATTCTCCAAAAAATAATTTCGCGATAGAATCAATAGGCACCATTAATTGTCGTCGTTCAGCTGCAAAATTTTATAAAATTTTTATCAAAATTTTATATAATTTTTTTTTAAATCTTCGACACTTCGTTTGAAAACTAAAGCCGAAAATATATTTAAAAAATCTCCAAAATATTTTCGTTTTTAAAAATGCAAAATTCCAAAAAACTTCCAAGAAAAACTTTTTTTTGAAAAATATAAAATAATTAAATTTTCATAGGAATTCTTGCGAAAAATTTAAGATAAAATATGTATTTATTTCACCAAACAATTTCGCTGAAACGCTTACAATGTTATGTCGCAGAAAATTCGTATATTAACTGCATATTGGCTTTGACGACAAATTTTCGTTAAAAAAATTTGGAAAAAAATTTCGTGAAAACGGCAAATTTCAAGGCAAATTGCACGTAGTGCAACATTTTCAGCTTATTCGTTTTCATTTGGTTTCTGTGCGGTTGTTAGGCGATATTTATTGCTATTTCGTCACTTTTCAACGCTGAAATCATCAAAAAATTCTCTCATATTTAATAATTATGACTTTGGACCGCGTAATTTCTCGGACACGAGACTTGGAAATGCGCGGTCGAGTAAAAATGCTATTAAAAGACGGCTTCAAATGACCTATTTTTTGCAAGCATCGCCTCTTTTTCTTCCCCTACTTCACCTTATTATTGTTTGGCCATCTTGGGATGAGATGGAAGACGAGAATCATAAGCTAAAGCTTAAAAATAAACGTGGACTGAAACGGTCCCGAATTTTTATGCTATCGAGCATCGCAAAAGTGACGAATTTTTCAATCCCGATTCGGCACCATCCTAAATGTATCGAAATTCTTTTCAATTTTGAAATTAAGTTTTCGTGGTTTTGTTGAAGTTTTAATTGGCGAATGGACGTGGATTACTTTGTTTTAATTTTTATTATTTAAAAAGTCACTATTTGGAATCGCCGCTTTAACGCGGATTTTCCTCTCCTTTTATGGAACTCTCGTTTTTGTCGCATTTGTCGATTGCTCCGTAATTCATGGTCAGTGCCATCAGCAGACCGCAATATTCCCGTAAGAAAACGTAGGAGTAAATACACGGCGGTGGGTTTGGGAGGTTCAGTTGGTAGCGATGGGCAGGCGCGATGTTCGTTTTCGACGTTACGAGTTTGATACTTCGGTGTTTGTTTCCGATATTGGCTATGAGAATTATTCGCCACTCACGTGAAGAATGCCTTTCGCTGCAGCGGTGATTGCTCTTCTGGCGGACAGCAGCACTGTTGGTTTGACTCGTCGACTAGGACAAAACGTTTCTTTCTCGCCTTCCGACCACCGGTAAAAGTAATTGAAGCCACTCCTTTAGGCCTAAGCCTATATCACTTGGCCACGAAATTTAACGGTCGGTCGAGGTCTTCGCCCTCTTTGCTTTTAGCTGCATCCCTCACAGGATTTAGAAAATAGTGGGATGTATCTAAATTCCTATGGTGGACGAAACCGCGCAGATGGCGTTAATTAACGATATTCTTGATGCAGGTGGTATTCGAGCGACCACTGTGGGTGTCGAATGACCGATAAGCTCTTTTAACGACAGCAGAATTATGGCCTTAAATGTGTGATTTATGGAATGATCGTTTTTGATTTTTTTTTGTTTTCGAAGAAACAAATCAATAGATTTTTAAATTATAGGCCCTAAGCCTTTTTGGAAAAATGGCCACATCATCAACAACACCAACAGTAGCAGCGATGCCAACAGTAACAACAGTAATAGCAAATTCAACGTTTCCGGCAACATCATTGCCGCATTCTTTTACAGATTTTCCCCAATTTCCGATTTCAACAAATCATTTAGGAAATATTTCATGTTCAATAAATGAAAAACAGCGGTAAACTTTTTTTTTTGAAGTTTACTTTTCTTTATTCAAACAATAATTGATTTCATTTTTTCAGAATATTCCCAACAGCACTTGCTTCTGCCGTTTATGATCAAACTGCAACATTCAATATAAGAGAAAATTATAATAATTTTTCTCATAATTATTCAGGTATATTTTGTATATTCATCGATATACTTTTCCATATTTTTTAACTTAAAGTATTGAATTCTTTTAAATTTATTCATTTTAAACTTCTACAATCCCTAAAATCATTTATTTTTGTTGAAGTCGGTAATTTATTAAAATTAGTCATCGCATCTAAGGATTTTTTGAAAATTCTTTAATTTTGGATTGGAATTTGGAATTTAATTTAATGAAAATTTTTTTATTAAATTGTAAAATTGCTAAATAAATCTTATTTAAATCTTATTTAATTTGAAATATTTTGTAATTTTTTTTAATAGTTTATAAAAAAATTTTAAATTTTTTTTTGATTTGCAATATTGGTATATTTTTTAATTTGCAAAAATAAGCCGTTTTAGATCTAATAAATTGTAGGAGATACGACTAGAACGTTTGCGAATGAGACAATAACAAATTGTAACAATCAGCCAGTAAAATCTGCTTGTTCTGCTATGCCGTTCCATAGTGAAATCTGCGTTTGTTCATATTTCCATTTTTTAATTTTTATCACTCTATATTTTATGGTTTTCTTAGCATATAATTATTTTGTGATTAAATGATTTGTTAGTTTTAATTTAATTTAATTTGACATAGTAATTTTTTATTCATCTTACTATTTTAAATATCACTCAGGCACGAACAAAAAAATCTTGAGAATTCTAAAAAATCTAATCCTACAAAAATCTCGATATTTTTAAAAAATTTTAGTCTTCGGCTAATTCTCGACCTACGCTACCACATTTTGGTAATCCAGACTATCTAACATATCCACAGAAAATGCCCTCTTTCTGTACTGCATCTACAGCTAATGGACAAAACACATCTTGTCCACCAAATGTTATTCCTTCAATGCCATTTCCATTATCTACGGGATCAGCAACATATGTGTCTCCTCCTAACATGTCGCAAATATATGCTTCAAAACCAACCAACTCTCAAGAAATAAATACATCAGACAATATTCGTTATGCATTCAACAATTGTGCTTCTACATTTCAAACTTTTCACTCATTTGAGCATTCGCCGAATGAATTGAAAGAAGCCAGTCAGCATCACTTTGACTCAAATTATCCTGGTGGCATGGGAAGTATGCAACAAGATTTTGCAGACATGGTTCCTTTTTTAAACACTGAATCATGTAGAAAAAACATCAATAGGTCGAAATTGAATTCAAACTTTAGAAGCTTTAAAATAAACACAAATATTTTTTTTTATATTTACAAATATTTTATGCGTAAAAAGATAATTTATATCATTTGTTTTTTTTGTGTTCAGTTCAATATTTCCATCAATTTTATTCCAAACCTTTCCATGCAATAATTATTTGTATTGTGCAATTTAGAACTTGGGATATGCAAATGAACCCATGAAGATGATTGATTTAATGCAAGAAAAAGATTTGATACGATTTGGAATGGAAGAAAATGAAATCATTATTCCACCTACGGTGTGTACTCCTGATGTGCACTGCAATTCTAGGTAACCTTATATTCTGTGTTAATCATTTTAGAAATGTGTGAGGATGACCACTGAATTTGGATTACTCCAGCGGATAAAAATTTGGATAAAAATTTAAAGTTCTTTAGTTTTGTCTTTTTCTATTTTTTTCGCTAAAGATTTTGAACGAAAGGATTTTGAAATATATTCGCTAATTTAATTTGTAGTATATTTCGGTGCACTTTATGGTCGATTCCACAAACCCAAGAATTACTCCAGCGGAGCCGATTGCCATTTGGGCTAAGTTTACAACCACTGCGGGATATGAGGGTTTATATTTGTTTTTTAACTTTATGTATTAATTAATTTTTTAGAATCTTCACTTTTTCGCTGATCCATTTTGAATCAAATACTGAAAGAGAAATCCAGTTCTTACTCCAAAAACCACAGAATAAAAACATTTACAATATGGTAGATGAAGAAATTATTTTACTTATAGAATTTAAACGTTGTTCAAACTTGTACTATTGTCCGATGTCATTATTGTCGTACATACATAAATCCTTATGTATATCTGCCAGATTCTCGACATTGGAAATGTAATATATGCTTTCGTGTTAATGATTGTAAGTATTTTTTTGGCACTTCTATTTATATGCTTTTCTTTTTGTTGCTTGTCAGTATTATTTTTTTAATTGTCCTGCTTTATACATCGTGCATCAGTCCAGTTTTGTTGAATATTGGTTATTAACCTACGGCTTGTTCAATGAGCGCGTTGAAAAGGTGTTATTACGCAGTAAAATAATTTCTTCATCTGCTGTCCGATTTTATTTATATACTTTATTTTATCTACTCCTATTTATTATTTTTTTTATAGTACCCGATGATTTCAATTGGGATCCTGCAACTAAATCTATTGGTGAGCCGACAAGAAGGCCAGAACTTAGATACGCTTCCATCGAATTTATAGCACCATCTGAGTACATGGTGTTCATTTATATATATTTTTTGACTTTTGGTGCCTTTTAGTTTCAAACATTTTTTTTCAATCTTTATTACCAGAATATATGTAGACGGACAATTGATATAAGCAGTATTTAGTTTCTTTTTCAGAAGAAACCCTTTTTTTCTTTTTTTTATTCTTTCATTATTGGGAAGGCTTGTTACTTTATCATTTTTTTGTGTTTGTTTTATTTTTCTTATCCGTTTTTTGACTATTTCTATGTTACTATTCAATATTCAATATAATGATATTTGCAGTTGCGACCACCTCAACCAGCTGTATACGTTTTTATACTCGATGTATGTTACAACGCTGTTGAATCTGGTATTCTTTATGGGAATCGATTCCTGTTAAAATTTTAAATTGCCAGTTTTAAATATCTTAATTTTAAATGCATTTTTAGGGTATCTTTATACGTTTACGGAACAACTGTTGCTAGCACTTGATTATATTCCGGGTGATGATCGAACAATGATTGGATTCATTTGCGTTGATTCATTACTTCATTTTTTTCAATTTAGGGATGGAAAATTTCCACGGCAATTAATTGTGAATGAAATTGATGGTATGATGTAATTTTATATCATTTGAGAAAAAAGTGCTATTTTTTTTTGCTTTGTTGGAGATCTATAATAGCTATGCCGGATCTTTTTGGAAATTTTTTTTAACTTTTTTAAAAATTTTCTATTAAATAAATTTAATATACAAATATGGATCTCAAACTTTAATTTAAAATAATATCTTCTGTTAAATTTTAGACTAATCCATTTCTTTGTAAAGCAATATTTTTTGCAGATCCCTTCTTGCCAGTGAATTCTGGATTACTTATTAATTTGCGACAAAATCTTAACGTTAGCTCCATTATATAAATTTTCTTCAATGATTCTTTTTTTCAGAACTTTTTTCAAATTCAATGGTCTTTTTATTTTAAGAACAAATCATAATCGAAACTTTCAGGTCGTCCGTTCGTTTATTGAAACTCTCCCAACGCTGTATGAATCAAACTCATCTAAATCAAATTGTTTGGGTGCAGCATTAAATTCTGCGTGTGAAATGATCGTTAGTTTTATTGACTTTTGCATAACAACCATGTTCTTTAATTTAATTTGTTTTCTTATAAAAATCTTTGAAATATTTTCTTTCCATATATTTTTGCAATTTGTTTTTCATATTTTCTTTCGCTCTTTTTTTCTTTTTTCGATTATGCTTATCTTAATTTATCTTAACTTTTCACAAAATTTAATTTTCAGAAGAAAATTGGTGGTCGTGTAACAGTTCTGCAAACAGTTTTACCTTCCATTGGTCCTGGGTCATTAGTAAGTCGTGAAGATCCAAACCAAAGAGCGTCAAATGTAAAAAAATTTTTTTAAACCCGGTTTTAAATCGATCTTCTAAATTCTTTTCAATTTTTTATTAGTAAAAAATTAAAGATATTTATGATTCGCAAAAATGCAAGGCATAATATGGAAAATATTATATGCATAAAGTATATAAATAAAATATATTCAAAAATAGTCAGACAATTTCTATTGCATAGTGAATTTATAGAATATAAATTACATTTGAGATTAGCAATAAGGATTAAAGAATTCAAAGATTTTAAGACTTTTATGAAGATAACTTCATCAATTTCAAATAATAAAATTTAGAACTTATTTCAAGATTTTCAGGATGTTAAAAACCTTTGTCCTGCCACTGATTTTTATAAAGTATTTGCTCTTGAATGTACGGGTTATCAAATAGCTATTGATTTGTTTTTGCTCAACGCGCATTATTCAGATTTATCTACTCTTGGTATAATCATTTAATATTATTATAGTTGAAGTTTCCAAAAAATATTTCTGCCATTTGATTTCATGTCTATAATATTTTATAATATTTATTTCAGCGGAAATGGCCAAATTTAGTAGTGGATGTATATATCATTATCCAAATTTTCACATGGTTCGCGAACAAATACAAGTAAAACGTTTTCAAAAACATCTTCATCGTTATCTAACCCGTAAAATTGGATTTGAAGCTGTCTTAAGGATACGTTGTACTAAAGGTAATGTTTTAATTAATTTCGCAATGTAATGTTTCAAAGTTCATTTTTGATTAATTTTATTTTAGGATTATCTCTACATACCTTCTATGGCAACTTCTTTGTTCGTTCAACAGATTTGCTTGCCATGGCTAATGTGAATCCGGATTCTGCAATAAGCGCCCAAGTACAAATGGAGGAGAACTTAATTGGATTTAACACCGCCTGTTTTCAGGCGGCATTACTTTATACATCTAGCAAAGGCTTGATTTTATTTTGTATTTCATTGATAATTTTTATGAACATATATTAATTTAATTAATGGTTTATTTTTTTGTTATCTTACTTATTATCAATTTTATTTCTTGCATTTGCATTTAAATTTTCGTAATTATATCCTATTTATTTCTTCCCCCATTTCCCTGATTTGTTTTCACTTGTAACTAGATTCATTTAGGAGATAGGCGTATCAGGGTTCATACTCTATGTTTACCGATCACTAAAGATTTGTCAATTGTGTATAATAATTTCGATGTGAAATGTGCTGTATCATTGCTAACGAAAATGGGTATTTTTTGCAAATTTATATTAATGTTCAGTTTTTAACAAATGTCTTATTTAATTTAATTTCAAATATCCAGATTTTTTGTTTTCAAAACGGGTCATAGCTTATGAATATTTTATTTATAGCTGTCGAACGTATAATGAACGGTGGTAATCTAGTTGATTCGAGAGAAGCTATGATTAATGCTGTAGTGGACGCTTTATGTGCTTATAGCCGTGGAGTGGTGCGTGCTGAAAGAAGTATGAATCTATTTTCTCCAGTTTCGTCATTTCGATTATTTCCGCTTTATGTTCTTGGCATGTTAAAGCACGTAAGTTAATTAATGATCGTTTTTTTGTTATGACAGCGATTGAAACTTCAGTGATCACCTATATATTTTTTGTTTCACTGTACCTTCATCCGCAAAGAAAAATTTTTCCCCTAATTCTTTGTTTTTTTTTTAATTTTTAATTTTGAAATTAATTCAGTGGTTTAAATAATAAATGAATGAATTTAGAATGCATTCTTTCTGGGGTCCTCAATCAAATTGGATAATCGGGTTGCAGCTTTATTGTTTTTCAACTCAGCTCCACTTGAAATTATTGTTTTGGAATTATTTCCAGCATTGTATCGATTAGATCATTTTTTTCAGGTTAATTTTATGCATGTTTAAAGCTGTTTCTTTGAATTGAATAGTTGACTTCAACAAAAGTTTTTTTTTTTTTTGAAGAGTTGATAAGTACTTTCTTTTATAGAGTGATGAAGATCCTCCTCGTCTGCATTTGTCTTTCGAGCATGTTAGCAACAGTGGAATATATTTATTGGATTGTGGTTCATATATCTTCATATATGTGACCAGGAATCTTCATTTGACGGCAATTCAGCAGCTTTTTGGCTCGAATCATTTTGACGAAATTGATGAAGATGTAATCTATCTTCAATTAAAATTAAATTAAATTAAATTAGTCACTGCTTTAAATTTATTGTAAAGAACTGAAAAATGTTTATATTATATTATAAGGAATTGGAGTTTAGTTTAAGATAAGTATTTGAAAGATGAATACTGATCTTATTTTTAAATGTATTTAAGGAAAAAATGAGAATTTGAGTGAGTTGAAACACTTTGATGTCTCCTTAGAATATTTCACATTTTACGAAAAAATTTCTTTTCAACACTTCTAAAACCCCATTGTTTTTCATTAATCCAAGGAATAGAACTTACGAAATGTTTAAAAAGTACAATGAGTCTTGTAGATATCTGTGAATATACTCGGGTTTGAAGAGAGTTATGTACCAGTCCCTACTTCTTCTTCTTCTTCTCCTAACAGCTCTCACCATTACTGGTTAGGCTGGATCCAACGGCTACAATGGTAAGACGCTTCCAAGCGTCTGATGCCATCGTCGACAGCCATTCCTTTTTCCATCGTCTAAGTCCATATATTGCTTGTCTATCTATACGTTCTTTTCTCACCGTATCATTCCACGTCTTGATTGGCCCACCTCGCTTTTGACGCTAACCATCACACGGTTTACCGGTCCCTACTAGGATAAACCGGTGCATAGTTAATATTTCTTATTGCTATCAGACAAATTTTACTTTACTTTCCTAATGCAAAATAGTCAAGATTTCTCTTTATCAGGATTTCTTGGTCATAATCATTTTGATTGCCTCTTTCCTTTATTTTACCAAATTTTTGAAATTGAATGATTTTAGAAAACATTTGATGTGCGCGATAATGTATTTAGTGAAAAGGTTCATAATTTTATTCGAAAACTTTTATCTGCAAGATCAATATTTGCGCCAGTTATGGTTCTAAGGTATATTTTTTAAATAAAAAATCTTTAATTTCAAAAAGTTTTGCTGGCATCATTTTTTGTTTTCAATATTCATTAGTTCATAATTATTAAAAAATTGTTTTGGAAATCATTTTTATTTTATGCTATGTTTCGTCAAGGAATCAATATTTAACTTAATTCGCATTAGATTATATTAGATTGATATTAGTTCTGAGGAATCGATATTTTATGATAATTTTAAATTTTAAATGTATTTTTTTAAACATATCCTGTTGTCCAGGTTATCTTGGTGGTTATCCAGTTTTGGCTTTGTTTTAACGGTTATAACTATTACCATTTTGTCGCGATAATAATTTGAAATCTCGAGAAGTATTTAAAATTTTTATTTCAATTTTTAATTTATTGAGATTATTTTGCAGGGAGGATGGCGAAATGAAGGATATTTTTATTCGGCGATTAATAGAAGATCGAACACAATCTTCACATAGTTATATCGAATTCTTGCATCATTTAAGAAATGAATATCAAAAACTATAATTTATTTTCAGAAATATTTATGAAATAATAAAGAATATTTAAATTTAAAAACAACTTTAAAGTTATCCTTCATATTTAGATGTATTTTTTATTGATAGTTTCTTTGCGCAATAATTATTTATTTGCTTATTTCTTGAGGAGTGATAATTTTGTCATCCGTTTGTTTGTAAATTTGTTATTTAAATAGAGCTATTTAGGTGATTCTACTGGCTTTTTTTTCATTAAGCCATTTTGAACTCATCTAATCTTTCATTTTTTTTTGCTAGCAAAATTTCTCACAATGCTCATCCCCTTACTCTCTCCAAAATTATTACTTTCAAATTAAAAAATTACTTATTTATTTTCTCTTCCAAACACCTTTAATGAAATTCATTTTTGATTAAATATGATAAAATCTGCGTTAAAATTAAGTGATTATTATGTTGTTATTATGTTGTCAAAGAAATCAGTTCTTTATCTTAATTTTCATCTAATTTCTATCATACATATTTTAGTTATTTTCGAATGTTTAAAAAGTTCTATTTTTTTGAATAAAATTATGTTTGAATATTGAAAAATTGAAATATTGAAATATTGAAAAATTATATTGGGTTTTTTTTAAACTATAATAAATTCCAGTAAAGAGTTCTTTGGTAGACGTCTTTTTTGTACTTTTTTTCTCGTGTTTCTGCTAAATTTTGACTTCAGTGTGAAATGATGACGAAACTGAAATCAGCAAATCTAAGCGTTTTGTATTTTCATTTTCGAATTTTTTCAGAAAATTCTCAGTGAGAAATATACTATGGTGTTGGTCCATTTTCAATTTTTTTTCCCTTGAACGATTCGTCTAAAATTTAATAAAGTTTGTCAGTAAGAGAGGTTTTCTTATAAACTTTGAGTCTGGCGAAAGTGCACGTCTGTGGAGGACCACTAGTGCGATCTTCAAAGCTGAGAGCCCTTGACATCCACCCAAAACTCATTGTGTTGCCTCTTGGAATCGCTCACTATTTACAAATCATTGTTTTTCTGCAATGTTCATCCTCCACTATCTCAGTCACAGTCGTTTTTGCCCTTTGAGACCATAATTTGTTGCAAAAAGTGGCAAAAGCGGAGGTTTGATGGTCCATCACCAAAACATATGAGATATTTAGGGCGGCACATCTGTGTTTGAATAGAATAAAGTGGCGGAAAAACAACGTAAATAATGGATTGTGAATGGAGAAGTGTTTTGGGGATGTTAAGGGGATATTTATTGGGTCTAAAGAAGTTCTTCATAAAACGCAATAGCTTTTGATAGAGATCAAGAGATTGCAATTCGTAGCGACGAGCCGAGATTTCGTAGTCTGAAGCTGTCGCGTTTTCTCCAAGCAAACATCCATACATGCACGCACAAGCGTACCCATTCACATTAAACATGCATTTTTTTATTTCCATTATTTCAGTTATAATTGTAATTTTAATTGTAATTTAATGTCATTAAAATAATTTTCCATGCAATTTTGATAACTTAAAGCAATAAATCCATTTGTAATACATCTGAACGCATTCAGTACAAAAGAATCCCCTTAGTTGTGGTACTTTTCCATCGTATAAAACTTTGTTTTTTTTCTATTCGCTTTATTTTCTTATTTTAATAAATTTTAAAAGTTTTCCCAAAAAAGTTCCGAAAAAAATAATTACATGAATATTAAATTTTCTTTAATGTAAAATATTTTGTATGAATAATTTTTTTAATATGCAAATATTCGTGATTTTCTTCTTTTTTGCAAATATTTCATTATTATGGACTATGGTCATGAAAAAAGAAAAGGAAAATACTCGTGGGAAAAGAATGAATTACGATGAATAAACAAGGAGAGCTTTTGAACAATCTATAATTTGCATATGAATCAAACGAAGATTTACTGTTATTTTTTATTTCCTTTTTTTAAGAAAAAAAGGAAAATTTGTTGAATTTTTTATTTCTTTTAAATATTTATTTTTATTTTAATAAATTAAAAATTTAAAAAACAAAAATTCCCTAATAGCGAGAAAAAAGATTTAATAGGTTTTCGTTTATGCAATAAAAATTTATTGCTTAGATTACTTAGAAATCCAGAAAAATGAATAAATAAAAAATTTATTGTTTATAAGAGAAAAGAAAAAAGAAACGATTGGAAAAAATGCAGTGAAAAAAAACGATTTGCATTTTATGTATTTGCGATTAATTTCGCTATCATTAATCTCTTCTTTTTTTAAATATTTTTTCAAATTTAAGAAATTTAAAATTTCACAAAAAGGAAAAAATAATTTATGAAGAGAAAAATGAAATAAATCGTTGCAAAACGAAAGCAAAACACCAATTTCTATCAGTTATCATTATTATCAAACTGGATTTTCGCATAGTTTTTGATCTGCGATTCCGTCCAGTTCTACAACAATTCTTGGAATTTATTCTATTCTTATCACTATAACGAGAAAAAAAGCACTTTTATTCGATTATTCGATTTTGTTCGTCGAAATTAGCAAATAACGAATGAACGAGGTGGTCGAGTGGCTAAGCAATTGGAAATGAGAAACAGGTGTCGCCAATAACTCAGTGTTCTATTGCGAAAATGGTTCTTTAGCAAAAGTTGTCTAATTTAATGCTCATCTGAATATAAAATTGTTGGATTCTAGAAGAAAAAGAAAATATGACTCAACAACTAATCACTAAGAAAATACTTCATGCTGATATGATCCAGTTTTCATCCTATCATCACAAAAATTTTGCAACCAGTTTATTTTTTATAAATTGAAATAGAAGCTTGTCAAATGGAAGGTCCAAAAAATACTTTAATTAATTATGTTGTAAATTGGACATGTCAACTCATGCATCAATCGTCGTCATCTTTATTTCCAACAATAATTTAAATTCTTCATCGTTACAGTATTTCTTCGCACTATCTCTCCAACATATTATTATTATTATTATTATTTACAACCATTCATCTCTTTTAATTTATATCAATTTTCGAAACGAATTAATTTATTATAAATAAAAGCCTAAAATTTGAGAAATAAATTCGAGAAAAAAAAGATAAAAACTATTTAAAAAATGGAAGAAAAAAAATTTGGAAAAAAATCGTTTTTCGTCGTAAAAAATTGAAACATCGATCATTAAAATTTTTCATTATATTTTTCAAAATAAAAAATAATAAATTGCTATTGGACGCAATGTATTCATTCTTCACTGCTAATAATTTATCAAATTTCACTTTAAAAAAATTTGAAAAGAAAAAAGAAGAAAAATGATTGTCTCAATTTTTCGCTTTCCTATTTATTTGCGATAAAAATTCTACAAAACAAATGTAGCCTTTATACTTACTTTAATCGATCATTACTTACCGTTTATTAAAAACAAATAAATATGTAAAGCAGTAACTCAACTCAACTTTTACACTATCAACTCCACCTAATCATATCACTGCTCATATTATTATCACACAATCAGCCAACCTTGCGAGAGAATGCCGTTGGGATAGAAGCACAGGTAGCACCAGTAGGATTTCTTTTGATGATAAATTTTTTCTCCCGTCAAGATCGAAATGTTGATAATCGAATTCAGTTAATCAGCGTACCACTTGAGTTAAAATATTTTTTGTTTCTGAAAAGTTTATTGTTGAACAATTCACTAGTTTTATTTGATTTTAAATGTTGATAAATAGCTCAAAAGGTAGCAGAATGGAAAATTGTAAATTCATTTAAAACCAATAACCAATATCATTAATCATAGAGAGTGATGATAATGAGTATATAGGCTATACAATTGAAGAATTTTTATCAATTAGAGCATCTGGTTCATTGATAATCTCTTCAGGTTACGAGTGCATAATTTCATAATACAAATCACTAGAAACTTACAATTATTTGCTAAAATCTTCCATTATTCGATTACATCATTTTTTTGCATGAACAGTCATATTCGCATCATTTCCAAAATCGAGAAACTTTTAGGTGTATTCTTAGGTGTACTTTTAGAATTTAGGTGTATTCTTGGATTTGAAAAATCTCTATTTCCATTAGATTGGCCCAAAAAGCCAAAAATTTGTATCTCTTTAGAATAAAGCCGTAGGTTTTCTGATACTTTTCTATATAAATTTATATTTTCTTGATTCATTGTTTTTTTACTCTTTAATTTTCCATCCAATTTTTCGATTCTTTTCTTTCCATTTTATATTGTTTATATTGTGCTTATATTTTTTCTCCAATTTTATCCAATAATAATATAACAATAAAATTATATTGTTTTCACATTTCTTTCTGGTCAAAACAACAATAATAATGAAAAATTTTTCCACTGTTGTAAGTCAAAATCTTTATTAAACAATCAAAATTTCTTCTTTTACGAATTAAAAATTAACAAATTTCTACGAAATGACTGGGAATGAAAAAAAATCTTTTTCTTTCATAAACCACTAATAGCTTAAAAATTTAAAAGAACAGAAAAAGTTTTTTTTGCTTCTTAATTAATTGGAAAAAAAGGAAAAAGTAAAAATTCGAATTATCATTTGATCAAAAATGATCAATGAACGCCAAAGATTTTAATGATAAACACTGAATGTAATGTGTAAAATCTCGATTCGACGACCAAATGATTGATTATATGCTATTGATAAATGTTATCAGTTGTGATCTTGTGAACTGATCATATCACATTTATGTATATTATATGCGATTATCTGTGGAATAAAATGAATTAATGACGAATTGGTAACTATTTACTTTAAAGATTAATTCATTTCGAGATTATTACACTTTAGAAATATTTATTATATCCTTGTTGTTATAAATTTATAAATTGTCATTGAATCTTCAATTCATTTCAGTGCTAGTCAAAACATTTTGCTCTATTTTGCGAATCTTCCTTCCTGTTAGCTGATTTCTAATTTCTTATTTCCGTAACTCATTTTCAGCTCCTTTTTCTGTTGTTTTTCTGACTTTTTTGTTCTTCACAATTAAATTAAATGCTCTGGAAAATCCAGAAAATTAAAATGGAAAAT